CTGCCCAATTCTGGAGCGTATCTCCACTGATGATGCCACTTTCTTCTCCTCGACGAGGGACCCCAGATATTGAAATTGTTGGACTTGTTTGATCTGCACACCGTCGAGGTGGACGATCGTTGGTGAGCCGTAGCAGCATATCACCACAATGGAGCACTTTGCTCTCAGACTGCTGGTTTACATGTGGTTTAGGGTGTTTAATGGTAGAATGGGAGACAGAGCAGTCACCTTTCTCTGCTTCTCCCGTCACCTCTTTTCACACTCAGTGTGCATGTAATCATTAGTTATTCATAAACTCCCCGTCTTCCTCTCGTCATCCCCAACCGGTCGTTGAAGATGGCCCCGCCCCTCACTGAGCCTGCTTCTGCCAGGCTTTTTTCCCTACTAGTGTCACTGAATGCAGGCTCACAGGTGGTTTGATTATTGGGCTTTTCGCTCTGTTATTGTCTTTAACATACAATGGCACCAGATAAATAAAACTGAAATGAGCTGAGCTTACATCATGGATGTGCAGCCAACAACTCTGTAGCAGCTGTGTGAACCTGCCATGTCAGTATGGACCACAGTGTCAGGAATGTTTGCAGCACCTTGTTGAATCCACGCCATGAGGAATTAGAGTAGTTCTGAATGCAAAAGCTGGTCTAACCCAGTATTAGCATTTGGATGAAGTATCAGGTCGGTGCATGTTATAAATAAAATCTTGCTTCCTTTGTATGGCACTTAAAGGTTTACTATTTAAAAGTGTGAGAGATACAGCAACACACTGACGATTTAAAGTATGGCAGCTGTTTAATACTGTGGGTTAGCGCAGGAAGAAGATCAAGGTGGAAAGATAAAAAGAGGGTGCGGGACGGAAGAGCTGCAGATAAAAGGAGAGGAAGGGTTTGTGATAGATGACAGACAGAAAGGCATTCATGACGCCCAAACAGTTACTCTCCTTCAGTACTGTCATTAACCTTAAAATCAGAAAAAGGCTGTTTTTATTTACAAAAGATTTAATCGCCTGCAAACTGAACGTTTATTCAAGGCAGGGAGCTCCAAATTCACGTCTGTTCGTTATTCAAACTTCTAGGCTGTGCGTTTGTTTTTTAAATCCGTTGTAGTCTAGAACATTCCCCTGAAAGTACTACAGATATCTTGTGACATCTCAGATCAACTAAAATCAAAAATCTGCTCATGTGTACAGCTTTGATATGTTTTAGTAATGATTTCTGTGCACACTGTGAGCTTCTGTTTGCTATAAATCTTATTAATCTAAACCCTTTTTAGCTGTTTCGTTAATCTCTCATGATCCGGACGACTTTCTCACAGATGTGATTCTGCTCGATTTCCTTCTGTTCACTAAAATATCACGATACTGTATCCTCTAACAGCTCCAACCTGCAAAAAGTCTGATGTGTGAGCTCACTCTGAGCGCTTCCCCCAGCATACAGTAATTGGTTCTTTTCTGTCTTTCTGCTTCCTCGTGTCGTTTATTTATGGTTGATTGCTTACTGCTCTACCTCATGTGCTCCACCTTATTTTTAAGTTTCCCCTTTTTGTCCAAATTAGTTTCTCATCTCTCAGATACAGTTGTCTTTTTTCCCTCCCTCTTGCCTCACAGCTCTTCTCATCCTGCAACTAAAAACTCGGATAGCTGTGCAGAATTCCTCACCGTGACCTACAGGTCGAAAAAGAAGAAGAAAGAAACTCATTCAGTTTCTATAGCAACTCACAGCTCAGGCGTTCTACTGTGGGGTCAAAGCGTCCAGGAGGTGCTTCAGTAACTCATGTTAGACTTCAAAGCTCTTCGTGTGCTTCTTTCTTCATAGGAGATGATGCTGAAAGGGTCAGATTTAGGCTGCCTCACACTCTCTCTCTCTTTCTCTTTTTACACACATCCCACCAACGAGGTCTTTCCCTCATATACATGAAGAAAACATCGTATTTATTGTGACTGAATTGTTTAAATGTAAAAGTCGACTTATTAGGTTGCAGTGAACTTTACACCACATCTGGTCCATAGTTCTGAAGAAGCTGCAAAGTCTTGCTTTTAGGGAACTATATGACCTCTGTAACTAATATCCTATCTCATGTAATTAGGGATGGGTATCGTTTAGGTTTT